GGGAAGGATGCGGTTGTATGAACCATGAAATAAGAGGCGGGCTGGGTCAGAGGCAGAGGGGAGGCTCCCTGAGGAAGCGGTGCTCAAGCTACACCTGAAGGCTGGGTGAGAGCAGGACTGAACGTGGGGAGGGAGGACGGTCCGTCCCGGGCTTGGGAGCATCAGAGCACGTTTGGGAAATGAAGCAGAAAGGCAGCGTGTCTCCAGCACAGTGTGAGAAGGCTGGAGGGAGAGGAGGACGAAGAGACAGGCAGGGGGTGCACCCGCCACAGCAGAACTGGACGAGGAATCTGGGCTTCGTCCTAAAAGCAACGGGAAACCACTAACGAAGTTCACGAGGAAGAGGGTGGCATTCAGATTTACATTTCGAGAAGATCATTCTGTGTGAAGAATTCTCGGGAGGGGCAGCGGGGAGGGAGGGCAGGGTGGCTCTGAGGAGACCACGGGAGACCACTGCAGGCATCCAGGCGGAGACTGCAGCCGCGTGGGCCGGAGTGTGCGAGTGCAGCTACCCGGCCGAAGCAAACCACCTAACCTACGTACTTCTCTTTGCCTCCGGTTGTTTATTTGCAAGATGGGAATTGCACTACTTATTCAAAGGTGTGCAAAGATGAGAGGGAAAACAACGGACAGCGTCTAGCAGGGTGTCTGAAACACGGTTGTGATGAACGACAATTGGAGGCTCCCTGAATCCTACGGCCTAACAACTGTTATGTTCTCTTAATTCCTGCAGTTTGCTTCTCTCCCATCAAAGCACGGATCTCCGTGTCTCCAGGGATGCTCACTCCGCCCTCACGATGCCCAGGACACAGACCTTGCCCTTCTTCCCTCTCAGCTCTATCCCACCTGGTAGTTCCTGTCCAGAGGACTCGACTTTTGCTTCAATTCCAACCCTAAAGATTTCCCTGGCTATTGACCCTGTCTAGAATTCCAGCCCCCTTCCTCCACGACAGCCCTGTTGTGACCCCTACCCCCAGGTGGAGGAGGATCTCTGGCCTGTGCCCCTCAGGACTGGACCCAGCGGCCTGCGTTCTGCCTCCTGTGCGCAGGCTTGGATGACAGCTGCCCACCTGCCCAGCTCCTGAGCCAGCTGTTCCCTGGGCTTCTCGCCGCTCTACGCCAGTTGCTAGAACAGAATCTGAATGAGCTGTGGCCCAGCAGAGTGAACTGCTCCGCGGGGCCAGGCCCACAAAACCGCACCCTGCGGCCGCGTCATTCCCTCATCTCCCTGCTGCTCTGAGTGCTCCAGTCTCAGGGGAAGACAGTACTTTCCCACCGAGCTCCCCCCACCGGCTGAAGGTAATACTGATCTCCCAAGCGTTGATAAGATCTTCGAATGGTCACAGAATGACAGGTGTGCCTCATTCCTAGTAAGGGCAGAGGTGCCGGATTATTCCCCATCAGGACCCACAGCTCTGTAGTTCCTTGTATCCACCGTAACATCCATGGTCCTGTACTTGTGACAGATGCCGGTTATAATTTGATTTTTCACATTTCTTGCAACTCAAAGGATTAAAAATACACATATAAATCTAGACTCAGATTTGTCATGTCATAGACTGTTCTTTTCCACATCAGATTAGAAGTTAACATTTTTTTTTTTAATACTTTAAAGTTTGTATAACTTTTTAACATCTATTATCTCAGGTAACAGTAATAAGACCGAAATATATTAAGAAATACCTTCAAGCCAACCAAAGAGAGAAACAAAGTTTGGATTCCCTTGGTGAATTCCTGGACGAGATGGCTATAACAGTTTTCCAATGGTCCAGTTATTAACTCCAATACCTACAAAAGTTAAAGCAATATTATGCTTTGTGTTATTATTAAAAATAAATGGTGTTCCATATAAATATTTTATACCTTACACAAATAGAGCTAGGAGGAGATAAAAAACATAAAGAAAAAATTAAGAATATTTTTCCACATAAAATTGCAAGAAAGATAAATAAGGAAAATACTTTTTCATTGTCTGAAATATAAAAATTTTCAAACTACTCTTTCTAGTTCTTAATCATATAGGAGAGGAAGTATCATATAAAGGGAAATTGATAATTAACTTTAAAAAGATGATCTCATAAAAGGGCTAAAGACCAAGAAAAAGAAGACACAAACAGCCAGCCAACTAGACAGGGCATTACCTGTTGCTTGTCTTTTTCCTGCAATATAAGGATGCTTTCCCCAACAGTATCTATTCCAGCACGGCCAGCTCTGCCAATCATCTGTTTATATCGATTCCTCTTTAAAAATTCCTTAGCAACATAGGGAGCTCTTAAAATAACTCTAAGGAATTGATAAAATTAATTAAAAGTAACACTCCATCTACAGCAAATAGCATCTATTTTTAAAACTCTTAATTTCTATGCAATATTAAATTTAATGACATATTAACTAAAAATAATAGGTAACTATCATTTACCAAGAATATATGATATCTTAGGTTCCTTATGTATATTATTTGTAATTCTTACAAAACTCTTAGTAATAATATCCTTTTTTATTTTATTTCATTT